TTGAGTCCGCAGCAGCCAGGGCCGGGCCGGCTGGGGCCCGGAGCTACACCTTGGGTGGGCTGGCCGGGGCAGCCTCCAGAGCAGGCCGGAATCACGTGAGGCGCCCCCCCGGCTATCTGGGGACTTGTCTCCAGCCCCACTGCTGGGGCCACGTGCTCAGCGCCTCGGCAGTGGGTGGGGGGAAGCTCCAGGCACCTCGGAGGGTAGCAGAGACAGCGCAGCAGCCAGAGCCCCCTGGGGCGGGAGGGGTGGTGGCTGGGGGGCCCTTGGGGGTTGCAGCAGGGGGGCGGCGCTCCTGCAGCAGGTAGCCATTGAGGTCCATCTCCAGCAGCCGCGGGGTGATCACCAGCGGACTCAGCAGGGCCGGGTCCTGCTCTGGCCAGCCCCCACCGCCCCCCAGGGCTGGGATGCTCCACAGCTTGTGGGGCCCTGGTGCCCTCGGGGCTTGGAGCCGGAGACCCCACACGGCCAGGGGGCTGCTCACGTCCTGCTCACAGCTGGCGTCCCACCCTCGTGACCCCGGTCGGAGCCCCAGGAAGGGCCCAGTGAGGAGCGTTGGCAGAGCGGGCGGGAGGGCGACAGGAGCTGCAGCAGCTTGTCTGCCAGTTCCTTCCCGTGTGGCACCAGGGCCTCTCCCCACGCCCAGATCTTGGGGTGCCACTGAGCCCTGCACTTACCCCAGGCACCACGGTGGCCACAGGCTCTCGGCGATCCTGTCTGGGGCAGAGGGACCCAAGCCCTGGATGTTCCCAGGCTGCACTGGGCCCCCCAGGCAAGAAACCCCCTTGGGGAAGCCCCACCTGGTGGCCTGGGCCCTCCAGCCAAGCCAGCCCAGTCCTGGGCACCTGGGGCTGGCCCGGGCCTGCCTGTCCCCTCAGCGCTGATCTGAGCTTCTTGGGTGCGGCCTGGGCCTGAGCGTTGCTCTCTGCAGGGGGGGTTAGGGATGTTCCCAGGCTGCACTGGGCCCCCCAGGCAAGAAACCCCCTTGGGGAAGCCCCACCTGGTGGCCTGGGCCCTCCAGCCAAGCCAGCCCAGTCCTGGGCACCTGGGGCTGGCCCGGGCCTGCCTGTCCCCTCAGCGCTGATCTGAGCTTCTTGGGTGCGGCCTGGGCCTGAGCGTTGCTCTCTGCAGGGGGGGTTAGCGCGGTCGGCCTGGAGCGGAGGGAGAAAGGCCCGGGGCGACCGTCGGGAGGGGAGGAGAATGGGGGGGG